ATTTTGGTCCAGATTCTGTCTTCACACTTCAACACATCAAAGGAACGATTAAAGTAATACAATTTCAAATTTTTCCAATTTAATGGAGAAAAATGTCAACTTTTTACACGCCCATTTTCTGAATTATTTCTTTTTATTCCTCAAAAACAAATTACACATAAATATTAATATACAAATGTACATCTTCGAAATAGGGACAATATATTGGAAATATCGATATTTTATGACAAGCTAAATTACTTCTGGACGAGGCAAATTCCGAAGTACGAAAGAATAGGAGATGTCTTGGGTGCGTACTTTTGGTGTCTGTGCCTTTCTGTGATAATACCTAAATTTGTGTAAAGGAATTCACTTTATTATGCATATATTCATATATTTATGGTCCTTAAAATTGTTATTTAGCTAACATTGGTGGCCAGATGGGATTATTCATTGGAGCAAGTGTTCTCACAATAATGGAATTCATGGAAATAATGTTTTTAGTCTTGCTGTTTATCTTCAAACAACTAAGCTCCAAGTCAAGAAAACATCCGAAAGACAATGGTGCCTAGCATCTTATTTTTTACGAGAGAGAGAAAGAGTGAGAGAGAGAGTTTTGTGAGTGAGTAAGGATATTAAGTAAAAAAAAATAAAAGCTGACAAATACATATAGAAAGAGATTTTTAATAAACATAACCGGTGAGTTTTGTACAATAAAGTTTGTAATACTTGTTGATGTAAACTGTCATGTATAAATTGTATGTCAATATGATTTATATATATATTTAATTTGTGAATATTGAAATCAGATTCAGCAAAGTGTATTTATTTGCATTGTATTATTTTAGGGGGAAACGTTAAACGTTTTTAATCGTGAATAAACAAGAATGCTCACGGATAATATTTAGGGCTGGGACAACTTACAACTTTTTCTATATCGATACGTATCACGATGTTTGAGCCATGATACGATATGTATAACGATATGTTGAATTGGTTATATATATTTTTTTTATTGAAATGAACAAAACATTTCTTCACAAATAAGAATGATTTATTCAAAGAAGTTGCTTATCTGTTGGAAAACAAAATTATTTTACATAATTGATGTTAATTATTATGTATTTCATATCTATATTTAGCATAATTATTTTACATATTAAACCAAAAAATGTTTACTTAAGTAAACAAAGAAAAACGTAAGTCAGAATTTTTTTGCGATATTTCTTCGTACGTATCGATATGCGTATCATCGTCACATAGAATCGATATTATCGACATCTCGATATATCGCCCCAGCCCTAATAATATTGAAAAACCTGTTGTGCCTCTCCCCTATACTCAAAACTTAGATCGCTCACACCTGTCTTATGAATGTCTATACGTCATGTATATCCTATAGAGGTATTTTGTTGAAACTATCTGAGTGTAGTTTAATCAAGAAATTACCGCTTATGACCTGGATGTATGTACTAATCCTATGGGAGCATTCCAGTCATTGTCCGCCTGTTTTAATTTTCAATCAAGTTTAGAGCCTGTAGCACTCGGAACACGAACACAATTATCAAATGTCGCATACATTTAGAACAAGATTGGTTCGTTTAGAAATGCATAACAAATAAAAAGTTGGATATATCTTTATGAAGCTTCTTCAACTAGAGATTTGCCGGAAAAAGATACTTACAAAGGGACTGACTATAGTATAGCATAAGACTTGCATCGCTTGACACGATTATGTGTAATTTCTGGGAACCTACATGTAGTTTCTTTTAGATATACCATAGTATAAATCACAGGCACATATCTGTATATATATACAAAATTGTTTGAAAAGATACAGCATTTAATATTTAAAGACATCTTGGGTGTACAGAGAAAAGCTTCAAATTTAGCCATCAAATATGAGATAGGAACACTTCCTATTTGTTGCAAAGCTTTCATTTCTATGTTTAAATATTACAAGAGACTAAAAAACCATAATAATAAAAATGGAATTAGAAATCAAATTCTTATTGCTGCTTTCTTAGAAGATGACAATCTATATAATAATGATGTAAAGGATAATTGGCAGAGTCAGATTGATAAATTAAAAAAGAAACTTAAACTTCCATCATTAGATATTACTGATAACACATTTAGCAGCTACTTGAAGAATTTCTACATAAAAAATGTTAATTTGCAACTTCAGAACATTGAATTCACCAAATGTGGTAAATTATTATTTTACAGTCAAATTTGAAAGAACTTTGAATTACAAGACTACTTGAAATTTCCAATTAATAAATCTGTACGTTCTAAATGAACAAAACTGAGAATTTCTGCACACCCTTTAGAAATTGAAATAGGCAGATATTCAAAGCCTTGTATCCCAAAAGAATCTCGTTTTTGTCACTATTGTAAAACTGTTGTAGAAAATGAAATACATTTCGTATATGACTGTCCTATATATAAAGATTTGCGAAAAAAGTATTACTCTTTGAACATCTATAATTTAAATGATAACATGTTGAAGGAAAATCATTGTAAAGTACTTTGTAACCCTGACAATGCAATTCATTCTAGAAGGCTATGCGAAATTTTACATGAATGTTTTGAATTGCGTTCTAAAAATAGAGCGCAATAATATATATTTAATGCATTAATCAGTTCATCTCTGTCCATATTATACTGTTTATACTATTTACATAATGATTATGTATAACTTCAAGTTGTAAACGCAGTTGACTTCACTGATTTGTACACTTGCATGTATGTATTTACTTTAGTATGTGTCTTAGTAATCTGAAAACACACTGTATTTTTTCATTTTGTATGTTACATGGTTGTATGCCAACATGTTTGGTGAATCAATAAATAAATTGAAATTGAAATTGAATATTATAATGAATGTAGTGAGGGTAAAAAATAAAATAAAATAACATAAACAAATGTCTGTGATACATGTATCATAATTAGGCTTAATGAATCATATTAAAAGTTAGTCACAACACATTATAATTATATTTTCTACAATATATATTACACATGGCCGTAGGAACCGGGGGGGGGGTTTACTATAGAAAATATTGCTACTACTAGCCTGTGCCCCCTCAATAAAAACGTCTGATGACCTCTTTTTTTTATTGCTTGTCAAGGAATTTTCGGTAGTTGATAGTGCCCCCCAACTGAAAATGTATGGCTGTGCCCCCCCCCCCCCCCCAACTGAAATTGCTTCCTACGGGCCTGATTACAGTCAGTATACCTTCATCGAAGTCACGAAATTAAGAACATTTACGCGAGAATACAGATTCAATTAACTTATCATAATTTACATAATTTTCTGTATCCTGCTTGTGATGCTTGAATACAAAAATATCGTTATTTTTGAGAAATTTAATTTCGCGTGAATCCAATACTCTGGCAAGAACGTGTAAGTAACATCGCGAATTATACGCGACTCGTACATGTAAAATGATTTCAAAAATAATTTAGGAGAATCTGACAGATTTTTTCACAAAAGGGGGTACGTGTGTATATTGCTTTGCATGAAAAATCAAGCGCAATCAATATCTTCATACTTCCATAAGGCATTTCATGGGTACTACTGCTACGATAGGCAAATAAGTTTTCTAGGTTTAAAAAAAACTGTTTTGATCATAAGATAGTAAGTTGTATTTACTAACTAGTGTTGTCTGTTGTACTTTATTCATGTTGGTCATTTACATTCTCAAAGCACGTGAGCAATAAAGTTCATGATGCATTTGATTGATGTCATTGTCGTTGAATTCTAAGAATTTTCATGCAAGTTCAATGCATTAAACTGAAGTTATTTTTTGAGTAAAAATAGAAATTTAAAACTGTAAACAATGCAGCTGTGTCAAGGCCCCTTTAACAGTGTTGGTTCGGTATTTTTCCTGACGCTTTTGTGTATATTGAAAGTAAAGATCCTGCGTTTCTTTTGATTAAATACTAGGCCTATTACTCAGAGGGAAAAAACTATATACATGTGTATTTCATTCGCTATGTTAAAAGAGAAACTTAAATTAACTCTTCAAGTCAAAACTAGAATACATGTAGTTGCTTTGGACCAAAAAAAAGTCACTTTAAAGAAAGATTGTGTAAATTGAACCCATTTTTAGACACTGAACCGAAATATTTTTTTATATGTACAGTATAATGTTCAGACTTACTGAATGCCAACATTTACAGATCTATGACGGTCGTAGAAAATTGACCAATAACGGAGCCGGTTCCTTCCTAAAGTCCATATCTAGCCTACGGGTTGTTTTCATAAACTTGAGAATGTGAATGGACAAAATTTAATGCCATTTTCTGCAATTGAGTGAGAGCCTGATAAACAAAAAATTGAATATACAATGCTTGAGGAAGCTTAAACCAGAGGACATCTCTGCTCAAATATATTGATTTCACTCATTTACAGTTGTATGCATTGATAGTATTGTTGAAAAAAAAAGAAAGAAAAGAAAAGCCTCGTTTCTGTATACTAATATTCATATCTCAAAAATTGGCCTTCTGGATTATTATGGCTTCATCGTTACCTCATGAGCCATGATTTAAACTTTGAGTTTACACAATGTGGAGATACTGTTGTCAGGCCTTGGGGCGTACCCCCTCCCTATAATCTTGCATATACATATTTTAAAATAGAAGGCTACTCTAATGGTTGTGCCCCTCAACAAATCCCCCCCTTTTCTTGCTGGTATGGCTGTGCCCACAAACTGAAATTGTTTGGTTAACCCCCCTCCCCCCAAACAGAAATTGTTTGGAAAAGATTCATTAATCTGTGAACATTACAACTCTGACAGAAGGGGGTTTATATGCTAGAAAAATTTTCTTATGTTTCCAACTTTCATATGAATTTAGTTTAAAAAAAATAAAAAAATAATTAAATGAAAAATAGGTAAAAGTATAACAAATTGCAGACTTTAAAGCTTTATTGACCCGGTGCGAATTACATCGGGAATGAATTTCAAATTCCCATTTACGTAAGTTCGGATCTCCTCTGAATTTTACCGATTAAGTCATAAAGCATTAGATTAGGCTGTGGATCAACATGAAAGTGAAATTCTTCAAATAGTTATCAGTAATTTAGTCGTCACATGAATTATTGATTGATCTATATCGACTATGTAAGAAATTTGAACTAGGATTTGTATCATTCAAACTTATTTACCTGGAGATTTATCTACAGTCGTGATGAAAACAAGAGATTGACAGGTGAGGCGATTTTTTGTACTGCATTCTCCATTTTGTTTACTTCTTTATCCAGTGGTTGAAACTTAAATGTCTTCGAATGAAGTAGCTGCTTCCAGGTAATGGATATTGTTGTATTTAATTAGTTATTATTTTATTTTCTTTTTTACTTATATTAGCCAAAATGTAGGTGTAGGTTTAGCAACTCATTGGATCAACTGTGAATCTCTCACGCAATGTTCAACATCTTTGTTCTGCTTTTGCAGGAATGGCCTCGTACAAGGGACACCCGGGGTATGGGAAGCCTGTCCCGGCACCCAGACAGGCCTCCTCACCAATGTCTCCACAGATGTATGCTGAGACTCATCGACCTTTACCCTCACAAATAATGGCAGCAGCAGCAGCAGGAATGTCTGTGTCGGGAAAGTCAGGCTCAATGTCAGACGCCAAAGCCAAGACTGTCCTCAAAGAGGCTGTCGATGCTGTTGTCAACAGTTTTGCCAAACATTCACATGGATATGGCCGAGGTATTACAATGCATTTTAAAATAGAGACATCTTTTTGTAGTCACAATGGTGTTACAGGATGGTATTTTACAGTCAGTGTAACTTTGGAGTCATGCAAACACCTGTTATTATAGCAAGATTTATAGGGATCATACTTCAAAACAGTTCCATAACTACAGGCAAGTAAACATACTGAGATGAATAGGTAATATTTTCATAATCTTAAATGTCTATTAAGGGAGGTTATTAATAAATTATCCTTGCTTAATTCTGAATATTTTAATAATACATGTAGGTATTGTTTTTATAAACTGAAATCAAAAGATCATTATGTTGAATATGTTCATTTTTTGGGAAAGAGTTTTCAGAAAACACTACCTTTCCCCTTCCTCCCTACATATGTCCCTTCAATCTAATTTGAGGAGGAGGAACTTACCAGAAATGAGGTTAATTAAAGACATCACATTAATTGTCCCTTAGTCTTATCTTTCTTAGAAATAAAAGGAAGGTTAATGTTTTGTTTTTTTAAATCAAAGACCATCACTGACGCAATATAATGGCGTCCTGTTAAGTAGATTGCATAAACATAAAATAGATTAATTTTTATGAGACCAGCAGTGATGTACAGGGGTATACCTTTTAAAAACTAAATAGTAAATAGGGCCTACATTGTGTAGTATAAAATTTTTATGTTCTGGTATATATGTGGAAATCTTTTAGCAAGTATAAAGATACATATAACTTCATTTTGTCATGTTGATGAAAAAAGAAATTGCATCATTTTGCTTTTTTCATGTGATTATTAAAACTGTGTGAAGAAATGTTCTTGCAAACAGTTTTAAAAATTAACTAATTATATTGATAATTATACAGTGACTGTGAATTTCGTACTCTTGCAGAGATTAAGCCAAAATCTGTAATGAGCCTTTTAGTAACAGAACTGTTTCACCATGTTCACCACGTCAAATAAATTTATTTTGATGCATTATACACTGTTAAGTCTTTCCAAAAAAAAAATCCAAAGAAGGTTGATTTTGCTTCTACATATATATATATATATATATATATATATATATATATATATATATATATATATATATATATATATATATATATATATATATATATATACACCTACATATATATATGTATATCTATATACACCTTTGCACATAGTTACACTGAACTGTTACACATTTTAGCATGACATATTATGGTTTTAAGGTTGCAGCTGGCTCCCACCTATATCAAAATTTCATTACTTATTATCATATATGGGAAATTGTCAATTTGTGAGCAATGTTGAGCCAGGTAGACCCCTGATTCATATCAGGTGGAGAGAGAATCCATCTGTTCCTACAGGTAAAAAGGTTTACTTCAGGTAGTAAAAGCGCAATTCAAGGCAGCTCTTATCTCACGTAACTGTACGGTTCAAACTGACTGCCTTCATTATATATACATGTATTAAGGTACCTTTTGTGTCTGGTATAAAAATTACTTCATTTGATTAAAGGTCTTCCATAGTACTCTACAGAACATGTGCTTATCAACTTGTCCTTTCAATTTGAAGCTTTTTCATTTAATCAAAAAGAATAAATGTAATAAAGTCCTTTTTTATTTCTTGCACATACTGTACAGTTGTTTCTAGAATTTATTTTGACTCAAATTCAAACCATTTTTTAATCACCTTGGTACTGGTGTAACCTATCAATTTATTGTTTGTTATCATGGTTATATTGTATAGTGTTGATTCTCCTGAGCTACTGGTATCAATTACACTTAGAAAAATAGTCAAATTTAACTGAGATTTACAAAAGCTGATTTAAAATTAAAATGTGTGTGTGTGAAGATTAATTGAAGATCAGGGGTTATAAGTTAAATTGCTGCAAGAAGAAATGCAGATTAAATGTGACTTAAATTCATGAAGTTTATACCACTTGTTCCTGCATAAATTCTCCATGATCTGCAAGCTTTTCAAGGTGTCATGCAATGAAAATTGGTTTCTTTTTATTTTATTAAGATCTTTGAAGTATGTCTCATGATACATGTTTTTGAGTCTGAAATAACAATATGTATACCCACTGTTTCAATTTTTAACAATTATTTCCCAAACTCTCATGGTTTATTGTCACTTTTAGGTTATAAACGGGCCCATTTACTGCTGATTTATCACAAAAGAAGTGTTCAGAAGTGGGCATGTAAATACTTTGATAAGCCATTAATGTATTTGACTTAATTTGTTTCCCTTTGACATAAAAAGGTTAGAAACTTTTTTGGCTTAGTTCCCACTGCCTGAAACAACAAAGGTATGTAAATGATCAATGTTATCTTCTGAATGCTAAATTTTTTCCAACTCTGAATAAATAGATCAATTTTATTCATTGTCAAGTGAAGTAAAAATATTCATAACTTAGTTGATTATGTAAAAATTTTCACAAGTGGTTCTCTAAAACTAGAGGGGGCATGAAATGGCAATTTAACAAAAGCAGAAAAGATAAAAATGGTGAATTAAAGGCCAATCTGGATTAGAAAACAGGGATTAAAGGACATGAAAAGTGAAAGAAATGACCAGTTGATTTTGTTTACCACCCTGTCACAATGGGGGACAAAAGCAGGCAGTAAGAACTTCAGATTTCTGATAATTCAGTGGATTATAAGCCATGCTTTATTGACATACATTTGTTATAGATTTACAGACTGTTTACTGAAGTCCAGGTTTACTGGGATTTAATTGGAAATTTATTTCTTTAGACATAATAAACAGATATTGATACAGAAACTTAAATATTGTAAAGATTAGAGTTTCTTGGATGTTATGAGATGTCTGAAAGATACATGTATGTGATTAATACTTAATAGTACAAGTTCTGGTTAAGCTACAGGCTTTGTTTCACACTAAATTTGTGTATGTTTTCATGATTATATTGTTTGTAAGGTTCTGTCACAATTCTAATCTGTTGCTGAACATCCAACTGACATCCATGACAAATCTCATGCAGATATATATTCTATCTTGACTTGTACAATCTTTTTGATGGAACACAGGTAGATAGGAGGAACAATTTTAAAATAAATCACAGGTTTTAAATTCATCAATCACTGCAGAAAGGCTATCATGGAAAATATTCCTGTTTAATCATATACACATATATGCAGCTTAACAGTCTTCATCTTATTGTTCTGAGTGTGTTTGACACACACTTGTTAATTATGTTGTTAATTATTATTATAAGAATAAAAACAGTTGTCAGCACCACAGCATGTTTCATTTACCGGTAGTTGACCTGCACTGACTTTAAAAATCAATGTCTGTTATGGTGTGATACTTTTTTTTAAAAATTTTTTATCAGATAAATGGTTTTCTAATTATTGCTAGATCAATATCTGTGCAAATACAAGTATAATATGTAGGTGTCCCTGATACTGTAAATCAACCAGTGACGAATATGTCCCCAGTAAATACCCCGAAGGAATGATTAACACCACAACATTTCTCCAAACCTTACCCAATATTTAATTTCATAAATGAATAGCCTGAGTTATTCAGTCATTAAAGCTATCCTCAGGGAAAAATGCCATCCTCTGCATGTCCATTCAGTACGAAGTTATCGCAGTATCAAAGATTTTCACCTGCCTTTACATACCTGGATATCCTTCGCTGCATCTTTTCAAGGTGATTTCTAAAGACATTGAGGAATGCAGGAATCTCCTCATTGTGATATAAGTTTCTATTGCAAATTTTTAAAAAGCAATTATGAGTGAGATTGTATTGCATGACTAGATTTTGGTATCTCCGACCAGACGATATGTATTATTAACTCATAAAAAGCAACAGAGGATCAAAGAGGAATGTTAATTTCACTACATGTTCATCAATAAAAATATGGAATTGCTATTAGAAAATTAATCATGGTTATACTGACAGGCTATCAATGAAATTATTGTTCTATATTATTTTTTTCATTGACAAATCTTAGTGATGAGTCCTGACAGTCTGTTAAAGTTACATGTACAATAAACTTGTAACAAAGTCATTTTGACAACATCCTTCTACTAGAAAAGGCTGATTCAGTTTGCATGCAACACATACTTCTTATAACATTTATACACAGAACAACATGCCTTGTAAAAACCCCATTAATAATATGTTTCAAAAAAAAAACAAAAACAAAAAGCAAAAAAAAAAAAAAAAAAAGACAAAAAAAAAAGCAAAAACAAAAAGGAAAAAAAAAAAAGAAAACAAAAAAAAACTCCAACTTCTTTATTTTGTATGTACTGGAATTTTTAGTATCACAAAATACATGTAGGGTCAGATTAATTATAGGTAATGCTTTCATATAGAAAATTGAATAATAAAATGTTGTGATTCTTCAGTGAATGTAGTGGAGGCCCTGCAGGAATTCTGGCAGATGAAGCTTGAGAGGGGAGCAGACCTGAAAAATGGGGCCCTGGTGGTATACGAGTCCCAGCCCTCCAACTCTCCTCCCTATGTCTGTTTTGTCTCCCTCCCAGGGGGGAGCTGTTTTGGTAGTTTTCAGGTTAGTTTTGAACTCTCATTATGCTCATATTTTGTTCAGACTGATTATAAACTTGTACATTTTTAACATCAAGATACTTTTAAAGTTAGCATTTAACAGAAGTATATTAATTAGGCTTCAAAATTAAAAACAAAAATTTTTTTGGCAACAATTTTCATTTTATGCTTCTTGAAATGATTCATCCTGTGTTACAAAGATTCAAAACATATCAAAAGTGGTTTTTTTACCATTCATTTGAAAAAAAAAATGCATTTTTATCCAATTCATGGATAAATTTCATTTTATTAATAAGCTCTACTGTTAAGAGACCAGAGGAGGTTATGTGATAGTAAAGTGTCTGTCTGTCTGTAAACAATTTTTCAAAATGCTACTCTGTATTACTCCTCCTACTATTTTCTTCAAATTTTAATATAATGAGTACACAAGTAGAGTACAATAAGATACAATCATGATTATGTTTATTGATTTTTGATTTTGATGAATGATTTGCCATGGTTACTTAAAAATAGAGGTTTCTTTGAAATTTTTTCAAAATGCTACTTTTCCTATGTGAAGGGGTTTATAAAAAAGCATAAACTGTTCCAACCTAGGCTATAGCAGTATAGTAGCTATTAAATTTATTCCGTATAATTTAATTTTTCATCATTAAGTATATAGAAAATAAACAATTTTGCCTTCAGAATTGCCTTCAAATTGTATGTTTTAAATGTAGCATCAAGCGGATTGATACATTTTTGACGTAAGTCATTGTCATAAGTCAGGTAATATGATATATACTAATTTTTTATCCAATCAAATGACATGTTACAAAAAAATTAAGTTATAACTGGATAAACAAATAAACTACACAAAAGTACATAACTCTTTATATTGGTTTTTGATTTCAATGAATGGTGTTGCCATGAGTATTAAAAATGGAAATGTCTGTGAAATTTCTTCAAATGTACTCCTCCTGCAGTTTTGGTCTCATTTCATTAAAACATTCTATATATTAAGTAGACTACAGCAAGATTCATAATGAATCCAGGTCATTTCCCTCCAGTGTCTGTTCCGCCTAGGTCATTTCCAGCCAGGTCATTTCTCTCCTAGGTCATTTCCCTCTCTTACCCGGGTCATTTCACTCCACAACCTTGGTCATTTCACTCCCAACATAAAAGTTATCGGTTTATCTATGGAAATGATTTTTAAAAGTAATTTAATTATTTATTTCCAATTTTAGATTCTATTTGTATCATTAAACTATTAGTATTCTCATACTAGCCCAAGTTATACTGTCTAATACAATTATTATTTGAATAAGTATTAAAATCTGTAAACATTTGTGGGTTAATTGATTCTTATTTATTTATTTATTTATTCTTGTTAAATGATTGATCTAATAAAATGTGAACGCAGAAATACAAGTCTTTTTAAAAGTAACTAGATGAAATCCCGCGCAAGCCCAGGGAATTATGAATTGAATTTCATAACCGCTGACTGATCATTTCAAATAATATATATCAAGTTTCTTCTGACAATTAATTACAGGCGTATAGCAGGAAGAAATACTTTGTACAAAATCCCACAGTTAGTTTAGGAACTTACTTAAAAACTATCAATTTCATTGACGTTTTCTTTATACGTGCAACTTTATTTTGATACCTGTTCTACTATGTTATTACTGTCATACTTTGGGAACTCTGTTTTCATTTCCATAAGAGGTTAAAGAATCGGATATGCACATATTTGGGGGGGGGGGGGGGGGGGTAAAAAAGCCCCCCCCCTCCCCCCAGTATTTAATATTTCAAGAGATTGTGTGTAGAAAAAACACTGAAATGTATTGATTAAAGCATACTTTTTAAAATCTTTAGTAAAAATGTTAAAACCTAGAATATAGCACTTTTTCTTCTTTATGTTAACAATAATTTATTCATCAATTGACTTTTCTTTTTAGCAAGTTTATTACTATATTTAAATTGTACTTCATATCAGTTGCCATTATATGCTCTTAATGGCGAATATGCAGTAGTACTACTATCAAGACTCTCAAGACTCCGATCAGATATTCATGAAAAGGATTTGCACATTTTAATTTGTAATCAGTAATCAAAACTTATTCACTCTATATTAGTTAAAACGAATTTTTGATCGAATAATTCATTAATGACATTTTATCAAATATTTAAACGATTGTTTGTTGTTAGTTTCATGAAAATGAATTAATGTGAACTCTGTTGCAGGCGTTTCAGAGTTTATCTGCAAAATTTATTATGTAGTTTATAAGTATAGATTTTATAGAATTTAAATTCTATTTATGTTTTATTTATTTATTTATTTATTTTTGAAGACTTAACAATATCGATTATAAAAAAAAAACAGAACAGTACCCGATACATAATCTTTGTTCTCTTTGCTTTATCTACTTTTTATTGCTTTTATCAAGAATATGTAATGTAAAAATGCTAAGTTTTAAGCTGTTGTCTATCAGATTTATGACACATTATATGAAGGCAATAAATTATACATGTATACATGCTGTGAGCATATGTTTATGTGTGAATTTTCAATTGCTTTAATTCATTATCAAGATCGAGAATCCATTGTTATTGATTATCCATTTTGGAGAGGAACATTAAGCAGTTATATTTTAAATAGTAAAAGACATAAAATAGCAAAATTTAAGGAAACTTGCTAGTTTTGAATTTTAAACATTTCCTGATCAAAATGAAACTGATCCCGACTGGAGTTAAATTAATATGTAAAAATGTTTATTTATTTCACAAATATACTAGATTGCTTTGTTTTGATATCGTTTGAAAATTGACTGAACTTAAAAAGTGAATTATTATTCTGCGGTAACTGCATCAATAATTATATAGGTCGTTGCTTGTGATTTTACCAGAATTGGTGCAAATTTGAAAATAAAGGACTTTTCAAAGATATACACATGAAGTATGTTAATATACGAAGCTTTTGATTCATAATCAATGATTTTTTTTATTCAAAAATAAAGCATCAAATAGTTCTTGTAGTTTTTTTTCCCCCGTCTGTCTCACCTACTTTAAAAGGCGTTTATGTTATGGATACATCTTCAGTATTGTAACTATTGCGTTTCAGTTTTTTTCTTTTTATGTGTCTTCATTTCCTAGTTTAAAAAGGTTTTACAAAGTGATAATTAAACAAAAAATAAGTATTTGTATTTCGAATTCCATTTTGTTATTACATTAAACCCTTTTCTAACAACAATAATTAAATTATTTACATTTGCGGCAGATCTTTTTTTTTAAAGCTTGTCGAAATAAACCGATTAAAGTAAAATTTCTTAAATATATATAATTAATTGATATTGCCTATTTGATTTATTTCTGAAAATGTCTTGTAAATCTAAGTGCTAATCTACAAACACACAATTTTATTATATACGGATAAATGATTATTTTGATAAAATTTATTTACTCTTGATTAAAATTTTCCATTCAAAATATGGTTTTCATGGACGAGAAAGCCCTCTAAAAGGCAAAAGTCTGGCAAATATTCAGTTTTCATCAGTGTTATGAATTTTATTAGAAAAGACATGAATCCAAGAACACAGATGGATAGGGAGTGAAATGACCCAGGTAGGAAAGTGAAATGATCTGCCGTGAAATGGTATAGGAGAGAAATAACCTAGGAGAGAAAGGGTTTTAGAGAGAAATGATCTGACACCTTCATAATTCATTTTATCAGTTTTTGATTTCAATGAATGATGTTGCCATGGTTACTAATAATAGAAATTTGGAAGAATTTTCAAAGAATCAAAATGCTACTCCTCCTACAGTTCTGGTCTAATTTCACTAAAACTTAGTACACTTGTAGGCTTCACTAAGGTACATAATCCTGTATATCAGTTTTTGATTTAAAAAAAAATGGTTTGCCATGGTTACGAAAAATAGAATTTTCTGTGAAATTCTTTCAAAAGGCTACTCCTAGTACAGTTTTCATTTAAACTTGACACAGAAAGAGACTTAACCAAGGATCATTATTTATTGCTGTTGCCATAGTTTCAAGATCAAGTTTTAACCATTATCAAATAAAAACAGTAGAGCTACAGTCTCATCAGAGACTTCCAGTTGCTATGATTGATGGTTGAAAGATAATTTCAGTTTTTGACCATTTTTCAAAATGAAGAAAAATATCAGGATTTGTTTTATCTCTCCTGTATATATGATTATTTACTATGATATATACTAAGCCAAAAACAGCATGGATAGACACACTTTATTTGGTATATTGAAAGACCATTTTGTTATTTGTGTAAGTAAAATAATTTCTGAACCTGATTTTATTATTTTTTTTAATATACACTTCAGGTGCTATAAATGTATGAAGCTTAGTTGTGTAAAGAATAAAGTTTTTCACTAAACTTGATATGCGTATCTATTACAACATGCTAGCCTCAAACTGAAGCTGGAATACAGTTTATTTATTACCTTTGTACAGCGTACTCAGTACAGAACATGTACCCATCATACTGTATTTAACAAGGACCATTTATTAACAATGTTATAAAGTTTAAATTCCTATTCAACTGGCCATCAGAAAAATAAATTAATTCAAAGGATTTCATTTTAAATGTCCCTGTATTCTATTTTTAGCACTGTCCTACAAAAGCAGAGGCCAGGCGTAGTGCAGCAAAAATTGCCTTGATGAATTCCGTGTTCAATGAGCATCCATCTCGGAAGATCTCGGACGAGTTTATTGAGAGAGCAGTCCGAGATGCAGCAGGGTCTTTCCAGGTAAAACGAATACTAAAAGAAAATGCATTGAAAGGAATAATAGGTGGTAAATGATGATGCATCACTTTATTTCCAAATAAATATATTTAATACACATTGTGACAACTTTGATGAAGACATTGATGTTGACAATAATTCTGTTGAGTTGTCAGAAAATGTGTATCCATGTAACATGTAAAAACAGTTCTTTAATCTATGGGTCTCTTGATTTTGTGAAGTTTATGATAATGATTTACATATCCAGCCCTATCTGAATGAGAAAAATGTACTTTTTCTAAACCTGCATGCAGGTTTACAAGAATTACATGTAAACCAATACAATTATTGGTAAATTTGTGTATAATCTTTTCTTATTCAATTATCAAATAAAAATACTTAAACAATCATTTTTGAATATGTTTTTGGATTGAAGTAATCAAATTATTGACATCTAAAATTTTAAAATGGTAATTGTTTCAATGTTTCTAAATTTCATGGGCTCTGGCCTAATTCCAAATGTTGGTACAAGACCCTCGTAAACTGTAAAAATTCTGTTCACTTCTAACATAAGATTGAAATTAGATTTGGACATAAAATAACATTGCTGCGAAAAAAAAAAAACAAGATGTGTTTGTGAAACACTGATGCTCCCGTATGGCAGCTTATGGCGAAGGTTAAAGTTTCTTCAAATGCAAGTCAAAATCCAGGCCAAAAGATAAAAAATGTTGATACCCAAAGAAAGGTCTTGTCTCGAGGAATACACCTGTGAAATTTGAAAGACCTAGATACAACTGTTCAAAAGTTATGGTGAAGGTTAAAGTTTTTTAAATAAAAGTCAAACGTCAAGGTCAAGGTCAAAGTGGTTGGTATCCAAAGGAAGATCTTGTCACAAGGATTACATATGTGAAGTATGAAAACCCTAGCACCAACCATTCAAAAGTTATGGCCAAGGTTAAAGTTTTTCAAAAGTAGGTCAAACTCCTAGGTCAAGGTCAAAGTGGTTGGTATCCAAAGGAAGGTCTTGTCACAAGGATTACATTTGTGAAGTATGAAAACCCTAGCACCAACCATTCAAAAGTTATGGCCAAGGTTAAAGTTTTTCAAAAGTAGGTCAAACTCCTAGGTCAAGGTCAAAGGGTCAAAGTGGTTGGTATCCAAGGAAGGTCTTGTCGCAAGGATTACATATGTGAAGTATGAAAGCCCTAGCTCCAACCATTCAAAAGTTATGGCCAAGGTTAAAGTTTTTCAAAAGTAGGTCAAACTCCTAGGTCAAGGTCAAAGGGTCAAAGTGGTTGATATCCAGAGGAAGGTCTTGTCACAAGGAATACACGTGAAGTTTGAAACCCTAAGCACTAACTGTTCAAAAGTTATGGCCAAGGTTAAAGTTTTACAAAAGTAGGTCAAACTCCAAGGTCAAGGTCAAAAGGTCAAATATTATGGTACCCAAAGAAAGGTCTTGTCACAAGGAATACACATGTGAAATATGAAAATCATAGCTCCAACCAATTAAAAGTTCTGGGCAAGGTTAAAGTTGACAACAGACAGACAGACAAACGGACTAACAGACAAATGGACAAACAGATAAACAGACAAACAGACAGACAGGACAAAAACAATATACCCCCGGGATCTTTCGATCCGGGGGCATAAAAAAAAGATAATAATAAAGAAAGACAAAAGAAAAAGTACTAACTTAATACATATGTAGTTTGGGAAAAAAAAACATAAACAAAACAAAAAATCCAGCACAAAGTGTGATTTCATTAACATTCTTGGGCAATAAAGTTTCTGATTTTGTCAAAAAAAAAAAGACACTTGTGTTTGGGGATATAAATTGGCAATGAACAGAGAGTCATTGATGATGACATCTAGGATCAACACCTGTGTATGATTACTTCATTTTCTATAGGTCATTACTTCAAGTCCACAAATGTATGATGTGATTTTTTTTTTTTTGCTTTCTTTAATGCAATGTCTTTACTTCATCAAACATCATTAATTCAAAATGAATACTGTATTTCATTATCCCTAGTATATGTAATTTAAAAAAAAAGATGGAAAATGATTCATTGTCCTGAAAATTAGCCGATTTAGTAATAAAGATAGCTTCTTTCAAATTCTGATTCTCCTGAAAATTAGCCGATTTAGTAATAAAGATAGCTTCTTTCAAATTCTGATCCAGAGAATTAAGATCTTTTTATGCCCCCGGATCGAAAGATCCCGGGGGTATATTGTTTTTGTCCTGTCTGTCTGTTTGTCTGTTTATCTGTTTGTCTGTCTGTCTGTTGTCAACTTTAACCTTGCCCATAACTTTTGATTGGTTGGAGCTATGACTTTCATATTTCACATGTGTATTCCTTGTGACAAGACCTTTCTTTGGGTACCATCATATTTGACCTTTTGACCTTGACCTTGGAGTTTGACCCACTTTTGCAAAATTTTATGAGACTTTAACCTTGGCCATAACTTCTGAACAGTTGGTGCTTGGGGTTTCAAACTTCACATGTGTATTTTTTGTGACAAGACCTTCCTTTGGATACCAACCACTTTGACCCTTTGACCTTGACATAGGAGTTTGACCTACTTTCGAAAAGCTTTAACCTTGGCCATAACTTTTGAATGGTTGGTGCTAGGGCTTTCATACTTTACATATGTAATCCTTGTGACAAGACCTTCCTTTGGATACCAACAACTTTGACCTTGACCTTGATGTTTTACTTACTTTTAAAAAACTTTAACCTTCGCCATAACTTTTGAATGGTTGGAGCTAGGGCTTTCAAATTTAACATTTTTTATCTTTTGGCCTGGATTTTGACTTCCATTTGAGAAACTTTAACCTTCGCCATAAGCTGCCATACAGGGGCATCAGTGTTTCACAAACACATCTTGTTTTTAGCTCAACTTGTCAGAGACCAGGAGAGCTTATGCGATAGTAAGGTGTCCGTCGTCCGTCCATCTGTCTGTCTGTCCGTCTGTCTGTAAACAATTTTTCAAAATTCTACTCCTCCTACAGTTTTGGTCTGATTTGAATATAACTTGGCACACAAGTAGACTACACTAAGTTACATAATTTAGTGCATCGGTTTTTGATTTCGATGAACGGTGTTGCAATGGTTACTAAAAATATAAATTTCTGTGAAATTCCTTTAAAACGCTACTCCTCCTACAGTTTTGGTCTGATTTGAATATAACCTGGCACACAAGTAGACTACACTAAGATACATAATTTATTGCATCAGTTTTTGATATTGGTGAATGGTGTTGTCATGGTTACTAAAAATAAAAATTTCTGTGAAATTCCTTTAAAATGCTACTCCTCCAACAGTTTTTTTGTCTGATTTGAATATAACTTGGCACATAAGTAGACTACACTAAGATACATAATTTAGTGCATCGGTTTTTCATTTGGATGAGTGGTGTTTCCATGGTTACTAAAAATAGAAATTTCTGTGAAATTCCTTTAAAATGCTACTCCTCCTACAATTTTGGTCTGATTTCAGTCTAATTTAGCACACAATTAGAATACCTACGATACATAATATGTATTTTGGTTTTTGATTTCAGTGAATGGTGTTGTCATGTTACTAAAAATAGAAATTTCTGTGAAATACTTTCAAAATGCTACTCCTTCTACAGTTTTTGTTTGATTTCAATATAACTTGTCACAGAAGTAGACTACATTAAGATACATAATTCTCTTTATTGTTGCATGTTGCAAAGTTTCAAATCCAAGTGCTACTTTGTTATACGTACAGACCAGTAGAGCTACAGTCTCATCAGAGACTTCTGGTTTCTATTACTCATCAACATACATAGGTAATGTAAAGCTTCACTGATCACTTGATTGCATGGTCTGGCTCACCATGAAAACCACAAAAACTTGGTTTTCACATTTAATATTGAAACTGCAGAATTATTAAAAGTAATTGGCAGGCTGGGAGTCCTTTTTAAACTTGAAACATCAAAACATAAACACATATTAACATACACTAAACACAATGCTTATTTTTCAGGGGAACTTGATGGATGCTGATAATCCAGCTACAGGAATAGGGGCCTTCCGTTTTATGTTGGAAGCCAACAAAGGAAGAACGATGCTAGAATTCCAAGAACTCATGACAGTCTTTCAGCTCCTTCATTGGAATGGCAGTCTCAAAGCCATGCGTGATAGAAACTGTTCTCGACAGGAAGTGTTGGCTCATTATTCACATCGCTCCCTTGACGATGACATGAGGTCACAGATGGCACTTGATTGGATTGCTCGAGAACAGGAAACTGCTGGAATTATAAGACATGAACTTCAAATTGCAGAACGAGAACTTGAGAGTGCCAGACTTGCTGGAAGGGAGTTGAGAGTCTTCAAAGAGAAAAGAGATATCTTAGTGTTGGCTCTCAGTCAGATTGGACCTGCAGAAAGTCTAGCATAGTTACAAATATTTCTTTTTGTTGAAAAGTCAGTATTTTATGTTGTTTTTTGCCTCGTAAGTGGAATTAATGACAACCTACAACATAAAATGTAGGCATCTAGTGATACATGTGTACATTTATTAAACAGAAAAAAAGCGTGGAAAAAATTTCAGAAGAAAATACATTGTACACTTGTTTCAACAATTTCCAACGCTATTGATAAATCAAATTTTGATCTATTTGATATAGACTGTCATGATTTGTAAAATATAATGTTCAATTTGATACATACTTCACTGCTTTATTATCATTTGTCTAAATTTGCAGTTACACACTGTATATTAACCGGATTGTGTATTTTTAGTTCTAATGGTCGAAGACCCACAAAAAAAAAAAATGCAGTAGTAAGGTGTCTTTTGTCTGTCTTAAGAATAGCTGTCTGTCAAAAAGTACAATTTTGGTTTGATTTCAGAAAAAAAAACTTAGTACAACTTGAGAAACACCAGGATACATATTTCTGTAAATCCAAAATTGAAAGGTTTTAAGTCTAGGAGCAACATTTCTCTTCCACTATTATAAGTGCAAACCAGTATAGAGCTGCAGTCTCAGCAAAGACATATGATATAGTATAGAATCTCACTGTCTGTTAATATTTGGGCATCATATCAATGGTCTTTCATCTAATTTCATATGCTTCAATTTAAGCATTGTACAGAAGTTAATGTATAGAAAGTGCATGTACAGTATTTTCACTACCTTCATTTGTAGATTTCAAACTTGATGTTCAAAGTTTCTTAGAAACCATTTTTATTTTATCAAATAGATTTTAATTGTTAAATTTTTAGTGCAATATGTATGTCATTGTAACCAGAAATTGCATTTCTTAGATTGTATATAATAGAGAATGAACTAATGCAAGCTAAAAATACAATAAATTAACTGCATGAAAAATGATTCATGTTGTCTTTGTGTAAAATATCATGTACCGGATTTGACACTTCAGTTCATGCTATGTTTTTTTCTTTTTTTTTTTAATGCTAAATGAAACCTCTCGCTCCAAGGTTTTGCAATGTGTTATACATTGATAACACCTGTATGTATTTTGAGGATTGGATAATGATTTTCATGAAGGCATTTTGATAAGAATCTCAGACTGTAAGATGTGTGATCTGTTATGTAGTGGTATACAGAGAGACTGTCTATTCTCTAGGAGTTGGTCATCATGATAGTGTCAACATTATATATTTGTTCTTTTTCATGTAAACCAGAGGTAATATTCATTGATATTTAAGTTTCTGGTGTATGTTTATGTGTCCTTGAATTGAAATTGTGATCATATGTATATTAAAATGATTATTATTTTTCTGATATTTGTAAAATGCTTAATTCTTAGGCTTTGTTTGCTTTAAAATATCAACCTGAAAAATTGTCTGTATTGTACATGTTCAGTTTGTCTCCATGAAGTATTTTAGTGAAAAGTTAATGTACATAAAGAACTTTCATATCAAAGTGATTGCTACAGGAAAGTTACACATTAAAGCATGGAAATAAATTTTTTTTACACTAGTAAATTGATTCTGACTCTTTTGTATGTAAAACTTAAAAAAAAAATCCCAAATTGAAAAGAAAAAAAAATAAGATTAAGTATATAAAGAATGTAATGATTTTTTTTTTATGGAGATTTTGTAAAATGTATGATAATACTGTACCTGAATTGATTGGTTGTTTTGTTATTCTGCTTTGTGATTATGTTCCAGTTGTGGTTCTTTTTCCTTCTTTGTACAGCTCACATTTTTTCTGCACATATAGTTAATGCATAATATATGAAATATATTTCAATAAAGAGACGAAACTTGTCATACAGTTGGCTAATTCTTTGCAATATTTTTTTTTTTTTTTTTTTTTGGTCTGGTGACAAAGATATATTATTCTGTCAGTAAAAAGTAAATGCCAAACAATCAACGGTGTAAGGGAGGTAATAGTAATTTACATGAATTCAAGGTTATCTTTCTTAGCATGCGTCAAAATCGCCACGTCGTCTGTTAGACGGCGCTGTCATTCAACATGGCGTCCTCCTTGAGAGAGCGACAAATTTCGGCTTTGAAACGTATGTTGAATTTTAATGTCCCAGCTACCAAAGCTACCACAACAGAACCGCAATGGAAAGTCTTGGTATACGACAGATTTGGTCAGGATATAATTTCACCTCTTTTAACGGTGAAGGAACTAAGGGATATGGGTGTAACTCTTCACCTGAAACTGCACTCTGAGCGTGATCCTATACCAGACGTGCCGGCTATTTACTTTGTGATGCCAACAGACGACAACATTCGTCGGATCGGACAAGATTTCCAGGGTCAGTTATATGAAACGTACTACCTTAACTTTATATCGGCTATTTCTCGACAACGACTGGAAGAAATTGCCAGTGCTGCCATTCATAGCAACTGTGTATCACAAGTGGCGAAAGTTGTTGACCAGTACCTAAATTTTATATCGCTGGAAGATGATATGTTTACCCTTCGTCACCAAGATAGGGACAGCATATCATACTATGCGCTGAACAAAGGGGATGTGAAAGACACAGAAATAGAACAGATAATGGACACAATTGTGGACAGCTTGTTTTCTGTGTTTGTGACCCTTGGGTCTGTTCCTATTATCCGGTGTCCAAGAGGAAATGCAGCCGAAATGGTGGCAGAAAAACTAGACAAGAAGCTCAGAGAAAACATCAGAGATGCACGAAGTAGTTTCTTCACGAGTGACAGTATGCAAGCTGGACAGTTTTCTTTTCAACGGCCATTGCTTGTTCTACTTGATCGAAATTTAGATCTGGCAACAATGCTGCATCACACCTGGACTTACCAAGCACTTAGTCATGATGTATTTGATTTACAGTTGAATAGGTAGTACAGTTTCTTGGTAAAGTGGTTTGGTCTAACAAATTGTGTTAAATCGCTCAGAGTTCGCATTAGTATTTTGTTAATTGAGTCCCAGGACCCCCAGTCTTTGAAAAGGTTTTGGTCCCAGTGAAATATGTTACATCCCAAAAAGATTATGTTGAGTCGAAGTTGAGTTATTACAGTATCCTTCCATCTAAGCAACAATAAAAACCTTTATGAAATTATTTTAACAGACATGCTTATTTTATGAAATAAATAAAATACAATTTTATCATGCTTAACATTTCAAATTACATGTATTTCCCAAATACATGCATAATTATTGCCATAAAAAAAATTAAAGTGAAAATGAACTCTTGCATAAAAAATCTTAGTGTAGTATAAACAATAACAGGTTAGTGGTATAATAAGGGTTTTTGAATAAAATGCAAGATTCCTGGTTCTGAAAAACTTCTACTGTCCAAGTTGCAGCTTTTGAATTTTTACACTATTGGACTAATAGTGAAACATCCTATTATTTATCATATCCTTATTTGAAAAAAACAGAATAGACCCAGGTAAAGATAAGATAATTAATGATTTAAACATTAAAATTTTTAACTTTATGGTAGTGATATTCAAGACAGAGTTGTCCCTAAGACCTGGGGGCCGGGAATTTCCCCACCTATAATGATATAATACCCCGGTTATGCTAGTATTCCCGCTCAACCCCCTTATAAGGGATGAACCCTAAAACCCCTTCTACTTTTTTCATGTCCCCTGCTATTTCAATTCTTAGGAACACCCCTGCAAGATGACTATCACAACATTTTTGATTCTTTGAAACACCCAAATTTTCTAGCTAACAATAAGAACATATCTTCTATTGAGTCCTTGGACACATAGTTTTTAACAAGTTGAATCCCAAAAAAATTTGCTGCATCTATTATGCAAATTCTTAAATTAATGAGAACCCTGTTGCTTCAGAACTGATCAATAACTCCTAACTGATAAATTAGTTTGGCTATGAATTACCCATATCTTATTTCATGTATACATGCATATGCATGTACTTCATAGATTCATTGACACATATTGACATATACTATGAAGAGATAGTCTGCTCTGTGACATACACATGAGATCAGGCCCCAGGATCATGAAACAGTCTTAGACTTAAGTCATATTTTCAGTTGCCTGGAAAATGTTTATTATTTATAGAGTTAATCTCTAATTTTACAGATAACAGCAATTTTGTAAAGCAATATTATAAAATAGTTAATTTTGGCCTGCTTGACTTCTGCAAAATTTTAGTACAACATAAAGATTTTGACTTTAAGATGTTTCATGATCACAGGGCCTGATCTGTGATTGTTACAAGAATTGTGTATTATGTATTGAATATTTTGTTGACTACCAGTATCTGAAAAAAGGGGTGATTATGCTCACTTAACAATCAGATAGTTTTAATTGGGAGAGACTGTAAAACAATCTAAGAAATTTAATTCAATCTTTCTATTCATACATGTACACTAATGAACTTGTTTTGGCAGAGTTGAAATTGAGGAATCAGTCGAGTCTAAGATTCCAGCAGGTGGAGTCGTAAAGAAAAAGAAGTCGTATGATCTGCAGCCTTTTGACAGATTCTGGCAGGCAGAGAAAGGAAGTCCATTCCCAGCAGTAGCAGAGGCAGTCCAAGTAGAACTGGATTCCTACAGGTAGCTTTTCATCTACAAATAATGCTACAACAGTACACTTTGGAATCATTTCAACTTGTGGGGTGTCAGCCATCATCTTGGGCAATCAAAATTTTACTCATATATGGGGATGTAAGTTTGGGTAACTTGTTAACATTGTACATGAGATTCAATGAACAAAGACATTGATAATTATGGTTTGAGGAGATGTTAATTAGTAGGTATGGGTGACTTGTGAACATTGGTTCCTGACAAACAGTTAATATTCTACAGTATAGCTCACTAGTTTTGCGTTTTTTCAGAACTATCTTGAACAATTTATTCATTTCCAATTCTCCACCATAGATTCTAATGATACCTGAAGTTACACATGTTGGTACACATGGGGTTACAACAACAATTATTTAATGTTAAAACTATATATTGTTTAATTAACAGGACACAGGAAGGTGAAGTAAAGAAGCTAAAAGCTGCCATGGGTATAGAAGGAGAGGATGAGTCAGCTATCAGTATGCTGTCTGATCACACAGCCAAACTCACATCCACAGTGAGTTCTCTCCCAGAACTGCTAGAGAGAAAGCGTCTGATCGACCAACACACCAACATAGCCACAGCCCTGCTGGAGCAAATCAAAGCCAGAAAACTGGATGTGTATTTTGAAACAGAAGAAAAATTGATGGGGAAATCAGTACTGGATCAATCTCTGATGGATATTATAAATGACCATGAATCGGGAACCCCCCAGGATAAGGTCAGATTGTTCATTATTGCATTACTGTGTGGACCACCTATGTCTGACGCGGAGATTGATCAATATCTCATAGCTTTAACTGGTGCCAACTGTGACACTTCAGCCATCAGTTACATCCGAAAATGGAAGGCATATACCAAAATGACGGCCGCCCCAAGTCAGTATGCAGGAGGAGGTACCAAAACAGTGGGTATGTTCTCCAAATTGATGAGTACAGGATCACAATTTCTCATGGAGGGAGTGAAAAACTTAGTCATCAAAAAGCATAATTTACCAACAACAAGAGTTGTGGATGCTTTAATGGACATGAAATCTCTGCAGGATGTGGATGATTTTCGTTACTTTGATCCCAAACTTCTGCGATTTGATTCCTCTGCAATCCCAAGAAATAAATCACCATTCCAAGAGGCTTTTGTGTTCATGGTAGGAGGAGGTAACTACATTGAATATCAGAATCTAGTGGACTACGCTAAAAACAAATCCAGCACAGGTGCTCCACGTAAAGTAGTGTATGGATGTAGTGATCTGACCAATGCTACACAGTTCTTGAGACAGCTGGAGAGGCTGGGGTCAGAAAATTAATACATGATTTAGTGTTAATGTTGTAAATTAAGTATAGATATTTATTGTTTTTATTATGTACAGTTTAACCTATCGTGGTATATGTTTAGAACCATGTGAAAATTCATGCTTTATTTTTTTTTTTTTTGACATAAAAACTATTTTACAAGAATCTTTGGCTGTGAACATCATTTGCAACTACATTGTCCAATGAATTTGATTGAGATTAAATAAATATATGAATAATGATTTGTGCAAAACAAATTAAATTGGTGAGGAAGGAATTGTAGATATTTTTAACCAGTCAGCATACTTTTCAGGGTCTGTGTATTGTGATTGTGACATGCTGCCATGCTAGCAACAGAAATTTTATTTGATACACTGCAGAATTAATAAAATGGCAAAATGACTCATCAGCTTGAAAACAGAATGCTTTCAATTAATACTTAAATTATGACCTCCAATATTGATTCAAATTATTGTATAATTTAAAAATTTTACAAATCAAAAATACAATTATTCATATAGAATTCCAGTTAAAGTAGGACTAATTGGGCAGAAATTCAACCAGTTCCAAGCACTGGTTCTATGGCATGTTATAAAATTCTACTTGGGTTATAGATAGATTTTTTATTTCATCTGTCTTAATTTCAGATCCATCTTTCAAGGTTAATAATATTATTTAATGTCTGATCAGGCAATAGATCAGATTATTTTTCCTGAGGTGTTAGAAACAGCTCAGTGTTTTCAATTTAACCCGAGGCCAGTGGCTGAGGGCAATGGAACACATTAAGCTGTTCCCAGGAGCAAGTGAAAAATGTTCTGTTCTATTGAGTGATCACAATTAAATAACACAACATAAAAATTATAAATATGAGGTATATATATATATATATATGAAAACAATATTTAGTGTCATACATATTGAATTCATATTAGAAAACATGATGGGTTGCTTTTTAATGCATCTGCCTACAAGAGTTATCTCTCTTTAAAATATGATTTAGGTGAAAAAAAGTACATTGTACCAGTAATGAAAATTTTCTATCTGGTACACGATAAAGAAAGAGGGTGTACAAGGGAGAACGATCCCCCGCTATGAGACAATGTGTTTCTCAATTTTCAAAGTTCACAGAAAAATTTTATTTTCTTAAATTATGTTTTCCGTAATGTCATCTTCAACACGTTTGATTCATTAATTTTATTGAACGACTTATTAATTGATAATTTGTTTTTTTAAAGTTGACAGTTAAGCATATTTAGTGAAAATTGGGTTTATTAGAGCCATTAAAAATGATTTTTGAATATGAATGGGTCAAGTCCTCATTCTTCATTCATGTTTAAATGACAGAAAAGTAAAAGTAAAATCTACTTCATGTTTCAAAAAAAAATGGAGTCTGAAGCCATTCTATATAAAAATCGAACTTTTTTGGAAAAAAAATATATGCTTCGATAAACTCGTTTATTTAAATCACTCCAGACACATCAAAGACGAGAAGACTTCATAGCGTAGTGGTTAATGCGTTCATTCTTGCGCATACTCTGAGCTTTGGAGAGAGTTCGAATCATGCATGAAGATTTTTTTTTTCCTTTTCACATACCTTAAAAATATGAGTGAAAAATAAATTATTTGTCAATAATTTATTCAATAAAATAAAGAAAGGAAATGGGTAAAAGATATTATTAACAATACAAATTTTGAAAAATATAACTATGAACTTAAGGAATTGAGAAAACGTCTTTTCTCAGAGCGGGGGATTGCCATCGCCTTGAATGCCTCGATTCTTTCTGTAGCATTTTAAAATTGTTTATTAAGAGGTAGAACATTCCAATTTTAACAGTTTGAAAGAACTTATTGCAAATATTTCAGGTCAAGTATTTTTAGTAACCATAAAAATTATTGATAAAAGAGAATAGAAGTCATTAGTTGTAACATTTATTGGGATTAGAATGAATTGACTATATAATGGTCCTTGTTATTGAACAAGTTATCAGACAAATTGAAATTATTCTGTCAAGAAGTTTTCTCTCTTATTAGAGGGTTGTTCCACCTAAAAAAAAATAATACAGAGGATCACACAAATTGAGTAAGGACATACATACATTACATGCAATGAATAAAAAAAAATTAAACATGTTTTAGCATCATAAGTTGCTGAAATATTTATTTGTTAGAAAATTGCATGTGTTTTTTGTATGTCCAGATATAATTGAACTGCATGATGTGCATATTTGCTTTCACAGACCCTTCAACTCAAGTTGGAAAATCAAAACAATTAAAACATGACAGTTAACTACATGCACGGATCTAGAAGGGGGGGGGGGGAGTCCGGAGCCCCCCCCCCCTCCTCCTGGGATTTGCAGAGTTATTGAAAGTATATATTGAAGCAAATAAAAAATGACTTTGGATCACCCTGGAAAACTTGAATCCCACTACCACCACCACGAAATACGTGTTTTTAACGTTTGGGATATGGAATTTATTCATTTTTTTTTTTTTGGTTTTGTTTTGTTTTTTTGCTTGTCAAGAAATTTCTGGGTTGGTTTTTTTTTGGACTGGGTTGTCCTCCCCTCCTCCGGAAAAAAATCCTGGATCCGCGCCTGAACTCTTATGTTTAATTTTGGTTTAGACATTGACCAGGTAATTGGCTTATATTCATCTTAAATATGTGTTAAGTCAGTAAGGGATCGAACTCGTTCTCATCAATTGCAAATAATGTATAATACACATGTACAGCACTGGATGAGACTAAGGGTGTCCAAGGCATCTGTGGATACCAAAAGAAAATGAGGTGTTTTTTTTTTCCTTTTGAAAAAAATACATGGAAATCAGTGATGTCACAATCTAAAGTTGTCCTTATTTACATCGGAGGTACTTGATGACATTTGTCTTTGAAGAGGCAAAGCAGAACTTCTAACAGCAATAAGACTGAAATCCTGGAGGGGAGCCTAGGTTTTAGCTGAAACTGGACAGTAGGTGATAGAAATAATCCAGTTATTGGAGATGATTGGAAACTTCTTATGTGATAAACCATTCAATAAGTTAATATAGATTTTTTTCACTACTATTACCGGTATTTTTTTTTTTTACTGTGAATGAAGGAGCAGGGCCGTCACCAGGTTTCTGGAGAGGTTCTACAAGGCGCACTTCCTCTCCGAAGCTAGATTTTTTTTTTTATAAATGGGTACTCTTTTGGCTTCTGGTTTATTCTGGAAGTAATTTTTACGAAAATCAAGAAGTACTACCAAAAATAGATTAATAATGAATTTATTTTCTTTTCAAAATATATTCCATATTTTTTTTCTTAAAAGGGGTTGCATTTGAAATATGCCATTTTCCTCTTTAATTAATTTTGAATTAAATGTATGTATATCTGTGTATTGTGATTTTTTTTTAATAAATAAAATTCGTCATATTCCAAAGAATATAGTTCGATTTATGCAGGAATAGGTGCTTTATGTATAGTTGCTCTTAAAAGAAGATTTATTTCATCACTAAAAGAGAGGATTATCAAAAAAAAAAATTAACCCGCATTTTGTTTAGTCTGATTATTATCAATACCCTCACCACCATCAACCCCCCACCCACCCACCCACCCCCAAAAAATACAGGAGACTCGATTCCTCTGTAATCTGGATATTTTTAAATTTTCCTACTTGTTTCACAAAACTCTAAATCCCATACAAGCCGTATGTTCTTTTCCCAACAACGCCTGAAAGTTTTTGTTTGTTTGATAATTTATTTTTTTTTTTAAATTGATCTTGACAGAGACGTAAGTTACATTTATATAACACATCATTAAGCACTACCAACTCCTGTGCAATGAAGGAATCAAGGAATACATGATCGATCAGATGTCGTTCGTTCATCTCACTAACAGAATTTTGTATATATAGTATATTGTAATTTCTGAAATTATTGGATGGTAGTTAATACACCTGTGGATCTTTTCATAAAATATCTTACGAAAAGGAGGAAAATTTTTCCAATTCTCGATCCATCATGTGGTGAATAATCTTGTAGAGAAAAAAAAACTATCTTTATTTAACAAATATTTAGAGTTGTAAAATTTTTATCTTTGATTTAAGATTTTTTTGTGAAAAGGGCCACTGGTATGTATATGTACACATATATATATAAATTAACATTATGACACGAGGACTTTTTTTTCCGTACGTTTCAGAACTAACTTACACTATTTTAGGGTCAAAAATGTATTACATGTATTTTTAAATAATGCAAGTTCGCTGTTTCTTTTTACAATATCAGTAGATCAACTGACCCTTTTATTGTAGAACCTTTTTCATTCAATTATTTTTTTCATATTTAAATATTTTAGCTGTTTAAAAATTATTAAAGATTTCCTTAACGGAAATCCTGTAGCACCTTGTGCTGTAAGCAAGAAATTAAAAAAAAGATAAATGTGAATTCATCTTTTAAAAACTCAATTAGATATGAACTAACACAAAATTGGCATTTTGCTTCATACTATACGCAGTATCATAACAGGAAGGATAACTCTGTCATTAGTACCTATTAATAGAACACACCTGTCTTTTTAACTTCCCTTTGATATTTACACGTTAAAAGTACTTTTTATTTCCTTAGATGTTAATATTTTGACTTTGTATACATGATTTTGATAGACAAGTTATTATATCATATATGTTTCTTTTAATTTTTGTAAAATTGCTTTTAATTAAAGCTAATGTTAAGAAAAAAATAAAAAAAATTATTAGAAACACTATATTGTTTAAGTTTCGTTTTATTTTATGAGGGTTTTCACGCCCTTAAAATATTAGCTTTGCGCAGTGGCGGTACCATAGCCGATGAGGTTAATCCGAGGCGTGGTTATTGCTAGTTGAAAACTATACCCAATACCCCGCGCAGTGGCCTGAAACATGGCCGCTAGCGCAATTTTTGAACGCTCCTACGGGAGCAACGATCAAAACTAATGAGAGAAAAACATCCGATGTGAGTGGGGAGTCTAATTCTTGATGTGTACAACCTCTATCACAATATAAATTGTTAAGAGACAATATTCGGGAAAAAAAAAAATCAGTGAATCAGTCACAGCTAGTATTATTTTATGTAAACTTTTTCCTATTTAATAAATGTGCTTTCTTATATAAAAAATAAATTTAGCATAATTTTTTTGTGTGATAGATAGCAACATTTTTTAAAAGGCAGAGCATCGGAAATAAATATGATTTGAATTATATTTCAGAATGATTCAATTCTCAGATTC